CCTTGTTGCCTCCCCGTCCCCTAGGTTATGGCCTGTACGGTTTTCCGCAACTTGTCTGTTCCCTCAATGCAGATGATTCGTAAGAGCGTGGAAACACGGGACTGGCTAAACACGATTGAACCTCGGAATGTTCGTGCTGTTATGAAGCGAATCGTGGAGGACGTGACAGCTATTGATACACAAGTTGGACAGTTGTACGAGGAGGGTGTGCACAAAGCCCACAGTTCAGGTTTGTGGCTAAGAGTTCATCTCTTTCCATTAGTGAGGCGTATATAGTTAAAGACCTCGCTGGTGTCTCAGTAAGTCTTCATAAAGCACTCCTTGATTTTCCGATTCCAGCTGCAGATGCCAGGGGTTCGAAATTGTCCTAATAACAGAGTCTCGAAGTTGTATTTACATCTCATGAGACACTGTCTCAAGTGTTTTTAAATTTTTGTTTCAGACTCCAGTAAGTTTACCTATACATATCCAACCAAACCAAGCCGTAGTCAGTGGAGTTACACAGCCAGGTAACGCACGATTTAAGACAAATCTTTGCTTTTCAAAGAGAGCCTGTAGTTCTCGACTTCTGAAAATCTTGACTTCTAAATTAATTCTTATGTTATTTAATACCTAAATCTTTTTTTCCAGTCTTCTTTAAATTCTCTTGGACACTTGGAAAAATGAACATAATCACTGTTTGATCTCTTGTTCTTTGTTTCTTATCAGCACCGCATTCGATTCTAGCCTTCTCAGTAACATTCAGAAGCTGTTCTCAGAGAGAATCGAGATCTTTAGTTCGGTGGAATTCTCCAAGGTCTCTGTATTAACGGGAATTGTTAAGATAGGATTAAAGGTAAGACTGACAGTCGGTGTTTCCAGCAGTATTTTAACGACATGCTTACCTTTACGCAAACCGTTTTACTGGTGGACTTGAAGTGTTGTTTGATTTTTAAGACTCTTGTAGAGTGTGTGCGACTTCGGACGTTTGGAAAATATGGTTTACAACAGATCCAAGTTGACACGCACTACCTTGCTTTTTATTTTACAAACCGTTTTTGCTTACTGATGGACTTTAAGTGTTGTTTTATTTTAAGACTGTTCTGGAGTGTGTACGACTTCGGACGTTTGGAAAATATGGTTTACAGCAGATCCAAGTTGACACGCACTACCTGCAGATGTACTTATGGAGATTTGTATCCGATGAGAAGTAAGGGCAATTTGTATATATATGCCTGTCTCGTTTGAATTTAGAAACTGCCCAGAATATCGAAGCGTGAAATTCATTGGTTTGATACGCATTCCTCGTGGGAGACTGAAGAATTTTTCTCTGTCCTCAGCTCGTGACAATGGGCAAATTACGAATCACAATTTCCTTTAACCATTCATTCAGCTGACATCTCTTTTTTTTTTCCCAGTCCGGTGGATTTAGCCTTGTTATCGAGCGACCCTACGATTTTCGCCAGCTGCCCTCACAATAATCTTTTTTATTTGTCATTTGAGCGAATGGAATTGCGCTTTTCTTAATTCTTAAGTTATCATCTCCCTTTAATAAAATATTAAGGAGCCTAATTATGAAACAACAGCTGTTTACCGCAATTTTCACTACTAACTACCTTAATGACTCTAAGAAGTGTCGGCGTTCGCGAGTGAAGAATTTCTAGATAACTTATTAGTTTGTTTTGTTTTTTTAAATACAAGTTTGGTTCACTTCATGTTGGAAGAAGTGGTCAACAGTACCGTCAATAGATGTCTGTCACCAGAACTAATGGAACCCAGTGTGAGTATAGAATCGTCTTCCTCTGTTTCTTCAATGTCGTTGCATCACATCGCAGTAAATTGCTGTAATTTTATTTGTGCCGCTGTGAAATTTTCCTGACCCCCCTTAAACCCGCACTGGTAGTAAATTTTCTATAGTCCCCCCCCCCCCCCCCCCCCCCCCCCCCCCCCCCCCCCCCCCCCAAATCTTCCGACCACCCCAAGGTGATATATCACAACTAATCCCTAAGCTCTCTGGATTGTAACCCACAGGTGATTGAAGTGATCTGCGAAAGAGGGTGAGATGAGACGGAATGAAAGAATAAACTCAGTGCCTTACACCTTGTTCGAGAATTTGCAAATGCAGGACACTATTTGTCTGAAGATTGAAAGTCCGTCACTACACCATCAAATTCTTACTTCCTTCAATCGAATTCTCACCTGGCCCCGGTTGTTCGAAGGTTGGATAGCACTATCCATTGGATAAAACTCTATCCCATGGATAACGCTATACATTTTGCTGTCACTTATCCGCTGGATAGCAATTTATCCGTTGGATAGCGTTATCCGCCCTTTATACAACTGGGCCCTGGAGGACTCCACATTGATTGGATAGAGAGAGCAAATCTAGTTACAGTCCTACGTATCATATGGACAAGAGTAACAAACGAGTCGAACATTTCCAGAGTTAGACCAAAATGACATTTTAATTGCTATAAGGTTTTCAAGATTTCATCTTTTGTCCAAGACAAAGAGCTCAGGATGATTGAAGTCGTATCATAAATATTGTTGACAAAAATTGAGCAAATAAAAGTATTCTGAATAAGACTTCCAAGGGACACAATTGAAAAGTCAAAGAATAGTAAAATATCTGTCGTCAAGAATTTTGCAAAATGACTTCTACTTTCCACAATGAGCTGGCATGGCCAACAGTCTTTAATGCACAGTGCTTTTCCTTTGACCTAAATCCTAGATAACTTGAATCTGGAACATGAGGTTGACACCAACAGCAAGGGGGAGACATTGTAGTGTAGGGGGTGGGGGGGGGGGGAGAGGTTATTTAAGGTAATATGGTATTTGATAATCAACTACCAGCTACTAGTGGTTTGGCTTCTTGAACATACCAGAGTAAAATTACCCTGTGAAAGTGCAGTGTCTTGCACAGGGGCACACACAGTAACCTGGTGAGAGTCCCAATCCAGTTTCCAGCTTACTAGTAGCCAGCAGAACAGGTGTCATTTTTGAGTGTGTGCTCCATATTTCCTTGGTCAAAATTGTGGCTGCCATCCTTGATTTTTATGAAGGGGTTGAATGGCTGCCATCTTTGATTTTCAGCAAGAGGTTGAATGATGGACACAATAAAGCAGTAGGGAGAGGGTGGAGCAATAGAAACTACATTTCTTTCTGCCTTTCCCTGCCCCCCCACCCCAACCCCACCTACTGTCTACTCTAACTCTACATAAAAGATGGCCAGTAAAAAATGATCATGCACTTGTTGTACAAAGTTATAAGACACCTGCACCATAAACTAGCAAACTAGCACAAAGTCACACATCTCTCTTAATGTAAAACATTTCTGTGCTTCAGAGTAAAGAAGGGACATTTTAGGGATTTTATTTAAAACAGTTGAAATACCAGTGGAGAAATACAACACTGAAGGTTACTGATCAACTGCTCTGACAGCAAATGATGTGAATTTGTGCTTCAGAGGACTTACACTTGGTAATTGTAATAAATGAGATATAGCTTCACATCTCTTACAAATAAAACAGTCACTGCTTTGAATAATTTATGAGTGACAAAATACAGCATCCAACTAATGAGGCAGTCTGAAGTAATACAATTAAGGTATTCACTAAATATTAAAAACAATCATCTTGAACTATATTATTTTTCAATCTCACTTTCAATTTCTTGCAAAGAATATCAGAAAGAAAACTAGCTTTCAGTAAAGGTCTTTCATCGTAGTAAAACAAATACCCTCCAGCATTCGCAGAACAATGATTTACAAAGTGTGAAAGCTGAAAAAAAATTTGCTCATTTTCACACAATGAAATCAGTTTTACTTGCACAGGGAATAAACAACAGGCGGACACTATCAAAATGATTGTCAAAGTATTAATTACATCTTGTCAGCCAGGGCTCGTTCATCCAAAACCTGAAACCAAGAAATTAAAGTCAAAAAACATCTCAATAGGACTTTCATTTATGCATTTGAAGCTTGTGCTAAATAACCCTTTGACCCCTACCAGTGATAAGCATTTGACTTCTCCCAGTAGTATCACCCCTGAATCAAACATTAAATTCATGAGAATTAAAGGAAATGGTTGCAAAATTACAAAGCCCTTGAGTACCCAGCTAATTCTCCTTGTAAGTATCATAGCAAATGTATAGAGAATGGTGTGGAGAATTTAAAAGCTGATGTTACAAAATTACAAAGCCCTTGAGTACCAAGCTAATTCTCCTTGTAAGTATCATAGCAAATGTATAGAGAATGGTGTGGAGAATTTAAAAACTGATGTTAAGGTATAAAGGGTTAAGACAAAGTATTGTGGTATTACCTTTTTCAGGGTGCTGCCCATTTGAGCTGGTGATAAAGTCACAGTAACACCTGCATTTTTAAGAGCTTTTATCTAAAGTGAAACAATGATCACTGCAGTTAGAGCTAAATTGTAAATTGAACATAGGCCTAAATGACCATTTTGTGTGAATATCAATATCAATGAACAATCAGCTGAATTCTGTTGGTAGAGTTTGATGTCAATAATAATTATCATCACTATAAATACATGAAATATTTATATATTTGTACCTTAAGTTCAGCAGTTCCTTTACCCCCTGCAATAATTGCACCAGCATGACCTGTAAACAGTGCAAAGAAACAACATCAGTCAAGAAAGAAATTATCTCCAAAACAATCCTAGCAATTTTGATTCTGATTAATTTTTTGATGATCTGTCTACCATGTAATTGGCAAATGGTCCTGTTGATGTTCATATACAGTTTTGTGAGACTTAGGTGCCTTTGTTACCCATGTGCCAGTTAGGTGCTATATGATAGGTCCTTTCTCCTAACTGTTAACAAATTGTTTCTGATGTACTAACAAAATTCTTATCAAAAAAAGTCTCAAACTATCTAATCCTCAAAATTTTTCATTAACCCATAAACTCCCAAAGGTGATTAACATGTAACTTTCCCCTACAATATTCAGCAAACTGGTTTTGAGAATACTCAAACCTGTCACATACAGTAGAAGTGGTTATCTTGACCTAATACCAAATTCTTGGAATTTATTTACAAGGAAATTTTTTACAGCTAGAGGGGAGAATTAACAACTAGATATTGGGAGCTAAAGGTTTAGTTCTTGTTAATATTTCTTTAAGACAAACTCAAACTCAAACTCACTGGTACAATTCAGGTGTCTAATTGAAGGCATCTAATTTCATATTGCCCTACTGTTGCAGTCTTAGCCAATTTTGTAATTACCGGTACATGACTAAGTATACCACAAACAATATACATGTATGATGCTGTCAAGGCAATGATATGCACTGAATAAGGGGGTAATTTTTCATTGCAAATGTCAGCTGTTTTAAGAAAGGATATAAGTCAAAAAATTCATCAAACCCACCATGCCTTATCCTTACAATGACATTTTCTCAGATTTCCCTGGAAACTTGAGGTCAAGAAACTGTGACCTAAAAACACGCTAACCTCAATAACTTTTGGAGCTATTGCATGCACTTTGAAGCCTTTTTGCAAACCTTTCTCCAAACAGTTGTAAACAGCTGTCTACTGAGTAGAGAGCAAAAAATGGCCAAAACATAACAACAAAAGACATAAGATCCTCCTCACCCATTCTCCTTCCAGGAGGTGCTGTTACTCCAGCAATAAATGACACTACAGGCTTGGCATTCTCCCCTTGATTATGCTGTAGAAGAAACTCGGCTGCTTTTTCCTCAGCACCTCCTCCAATCTCACCGATTAGGATAATACCTGTAATAAACCAAAATTATTTGTTTGGAGCAATTATAAATTCAGCGTCATATGATAAGCAGAATTATACACTCATTTTGATTGGTTCTTACCTATAAACAACATTTTTTTTATCATTTAGAATAAATAGATTCCATGGTACTGTGCCTCTGTACAGGGACAGATCACAGAATTTGATAAGAACATATGCAACACACTCAGCAGAGCCTTGTGTGCCACTTATTTGATCTTTAACTGAACAGATGCACTGTAACATGGAATCTTTGTCAATTTTAACACCTGAACCTAAATTCAGTAAGAAAGAGTAACTCATGACATTGTTTATGTAATAGAAATTAATAATTCTTGGAATGTAAGAATCATTTATCAATCAATTCTAATTTTCAACAAACCCTAACCATAACCCTAACCTATCACATGTGTTTTGTTTACAAAAATTCTAGAGAGAATTGTGTACTCTTTTCAGTTTAATGAACATCATGGGAGAAGAGATAACAAGACAATGTATTATATGATTATGTGAAAAATGATGTTAATTAGCAAAGCAAATTGATACCTTCTGTCTCTGGGTCTTTTAAAAACACATCTAGGCAGTCCATAAAGTTTGTTCCATTAAAAGGATCTCCACCAATACCTGTGATTAACATATGAAAAATGAGCAAAACCTACCAAGGAGCTAATATTTCTGTTAATAGTGTAAAATAGCAGTGGGTAAATTACTGCAATCAGATGAAAATTCTAGACATACATGCAATGACATTTTATCAAAAAAGTCAAATGAATACAACAATTTTATCAATATCAGAAATCCATTTCAACAATTCTTTATTCTAACAGAAATAACTGTGTTTCTTCTCACATATACCCTGGATGAGCCTTGATAATTCCCTAACTGAAGATGAAAATTCTAAAACCTTACAATTATTCCTACTTACCTACACACAGAGACTGTCCAAGGCCAACCTCTGTAGTCTGATGGACAGCTTCGTATGTTAGAGTTCCTGATCTTGAGACAATACCTGGAACAAATGCAGAGCAATTCCTCTGTTAGGATGTAACAAGAGGTAAGACAAAATTCATATCTAACTTGTACTTAACTATCTCCAATTACTTTACTTTTCATGAGACAAATCGGCTGATCATGCAACCACCCACTTGTTATTTAGCCTGTAAATGCATCACTGCTCTGTTACTACCCTAAAGCGTATAAAGCATTCCACTCAATTTAATTTCACGTGCAGTGATGAAAATGAACAGTCATGTTGGTGAAAATTGGCGCGTAAATTTCTACATTGAAAAGCCACACATACAGAAGAAGTAGAATGAAGAAGTTTAGTTTACTGACCTATTTTTCCAGGTTTGTGTATGTGACCCGGCATAATACCAATTTTACACTCTCCTGGCTGCCAAGCAATGGACAGCAAATCATATAAGTTGAAAGAAGGATAGAAATAGTTGTAACTAACTACAATGAAACACTATCAATAAAATAGATAATACTAGTAATTGGATTTTCCAAAACAGTGATTGTAAGTTTTGTACATAGGTATAAACATTTTCAACTTAAACAAAGACATTATCTTCTCCTCAAATTAAAGTTAATGTAATTACCTTGATTATTCCAGGGCAATTAGGACCAACCATTCTACATCTATCTTGCCGTTCTAGTGTGTGTTTGATTTTCACCATATCTTTTTGAGGTATTCCCTCTGTTATGCACACAATTAAACCAATTTCAGCTTCAATTGCTTCTAAAACAGCAGCTGCAGCAAATGGTGGTGGTACATACACTACAGTGGCATTTGCACCAGTTGCATCCTTGGCCTAAAAGAAAATTGTTTAAAGTTTAACATGAGAGTTTCCTGTAAAGTTCTGAAATCACAATCCTCTGACAGTTTAGAAGAAAATAGTTATAAATGCTTCAAAAGATGGTGGGGGGGGAGGGGGTGGGGGTGCAAACTAGCAAAGGGGCAAAACCTGCTACAAAACCTGCATAAATTATATCAATGACAAGCACACCTTTGGTGGCTATTTTGTCAAGAAAACCAGGGCGATTCCACAGGAGTAGCTATAATCCTAAAATATTACAGTGAGTACATATAGACTTTGGTAACAGCACTGACTACTTTTGACAACCCCCATGAAGTGTCTCAGGTCACCATCTTACCTCTTTCACACTATCAAATACAGAAAGCCCTAAGTGAGACTGACCACCTTTCCCTGGAGAAACACCTCCAACCATCTGTGTTCCATAAGCAATTGACTGTTCACTGTGGAAAGTTCCCTAGTAAGGTAAAGCAAAGCACAAGTTGCTAGATCAGTTTTAAGACCTGTTTCAAGAGAATTCAAATGGAGTCATGGAAAGAAGCAACAAAGAAAAGGACAAATACTTAGGAAGGAGATCAGAGAATTAAAAGTTAATCAAAGGCCACTATTTTCCAAACTTAATTCCGAGAAGAAAACATTCTAAATATTTTACATTATTGAGTTTACATGTTGTGCTTTAAAATGACTTCAGACTAAAATAATTTCACACTAGTTTGATTGTAACTTTCCTATTTTTTTGGACTATGGTAATGCATCAAGTGCAAAGGAAAATTGCAATTCAAACTGGCTCAAGATCATTTTGACCTGAATTTTTTTCAAAATTCAAACAATATCATCATCCATGGAATGTTTTAAGGTTTTAAAGTTTTTTTTTCAAAATGTCCAACTTCCTTCTGGATAATTGTTTTTCTCTATGCAGTCAAACTTTCTTATCACTATTAGTGACAGAGGGTAATGGTAAAATATTCCGATGACTAAGTGGTTCAAGAAGTTTGGAATTGGCTGTGGCTATCCATTTAGGAAACCAGATCAAAACTTAAACTTGCTTTTTTCTTATCGTTGACAGCCATGTGACCTGATAATATTATATTTCTTTATCAAATTATCTGGTTGAGTTTATCATACCTGTTTTCCAGTAAAGCCTTGACAAATAACTTTGGTGTGTTTACCAATCAAAAGATTATTCCTGGTACTGTCATAGTTGTGGCGAATTCCTATTTGTTCTAGGCTGACACCTGTATTGGTGAAGTATTATGAAATGAAGGCATCAGTAACATGTGCTATTTATCAATCATGCATGTTCCCAAATATTTATGAAGTCAAGTAAAAACCTTTCTTACTTACAGCCACATATTCCGAGAAGGATCAAACAGGAAAGAAAAGTAACAATGATTTTCATTCTGAATGTGGAGTTCAGAGAAGAACTCTACATAATCAGAAACTGGAAATAATTTTATTTCATTCTTCCATGACAAAGGATACCTCAATGCCACTTTCTGCAAAAGCAGTAATAGAAGACATTGCCAAGGAAATGAGACTGTACATATCTTAATACAATGCAAAAGATATACAGATGTGAAGATTGCTTCTTTAAAAGTAAGTGTCATAATGAAAACATATCAATGTCAAGTTTCCCACAATTTCCATGAAAAACAATTTATGAGCATGAGATTTCTCAATGCTTCCAATAAGGAAAGGTGGGAAGATTAAGGAAGGGGAACGGTTGAACTAGTACGGCCAATAAACTACAACCGTTATCTGTACAATTTCTGTGTACTTTTGCAACACTATAGCTTATTCTCGGCAACTTTTCAAAACCAACCAGGTTGTTAATTGCATCTTTTTTTTAAGACTCGACGTCCATACAACCATAGCAAGTAAGTGCAAAGTATAGTTATAATGACAAATACTGAGCTGAAATTGTCTGCTATGAGAATTTCACCGTGACATTTGCAAGAGCTGCAGGCAGAAACAGACGTGTAAGACTGACAGGCCCTCGGCTAACAACACCTTTACAGCTATGCAAAATTATAAAGACTTCAGTGTATCTTTCAAGAAAGCAATGGCAATATAATAATATGGCTCACCAAATCGACGAAGTGCCACGCGAAACGCCATCTTGGAAAGACACCTACCCGAAAGTCTATGCGAGCCAGAACGATCAAACTTGCAAAGAACTATGGGACGTGGCAAGTTCAGGCAGATAAAGCGCGGTTAGGTTTGATTGTGAGAATTGTGTTTATTTATGTTCGAGTGTTGTAATGGATTTTACTCCCGAAGAACTTGATCTCAGCTCCCCTTGCTTACTGGTGGAGAATTCTCAGTCTCAGGAAACCGAAACAATCTTTCGATCGGACAGTGCGTGTGATTTGGCGATTCTGAAACAGTTGACTCGATTGTCAACCAGTCGGACTGATCCTTCAGCGGGCATCTCCTGTGACCATCCGTCGTTTCCTCGAAATTGTGCCGCTATAAGTTGTTCTACTACTGGAGGAGAGGGTGTAAGAAGAGAGGAAGGTGAAAAAAGCCGGCAACCGGACGATCGCGACCAACATGGACAAGGACGTGATAGCAGCGGAGGTAATGATAGAGGAGGTAGCGATGGTGGAGGAGGTGATGATAACGGGAGTAGGGATGGGGGCGATGAAGGTGGCGGAGGGGATGCCGGTGGGGGGGACGGTGGTGGTGGTGATGATAATGACAACGATGAAAATAACGAGCAAGATCCCAGTGCAAATGAGGAAGAATCCCCTCATCCAGACGATCCATCCTCTTCAAGTGATGCACTACCAGAGCTAATTCGCCCTCCAGAAGTTGCTACCCTCTCAGAACCACTGGTTCGAGTTGTGGTAACAGATTCAACACCTCCCAGACAACATGTTAGTGGGGAAGGAAGAGGAAGTGTTCATGACTTTAGTGGAGACAATTACAGTGAGGCGTCAACTGGTGTTGTTGGTGAGGGGGCTGATGTTGCTTCTGACCTTAGTGAAGTATCTACAGCCCCTGTGGATGAGGAGAAGAAGTCAACATGCTCATCAAGTGTTGGTAAGAACACTGATTGCATACTTTCCTATTCCTCTCTGTATAGGTTTCAAACTAAAAATACAAGCAGTAACCTCCAATCTAAAACCAATCTAAAATCTCTGGGTCCTTTGAATTTGGACTTGTATCACCAATGGCTTTTGATGAATATTTATATTACAATTGCAACTTACTTTGCTCAATACACAGGACATAAGTCTGATCATGGCTCAGCCATGAGCAGCAGCAGTTACCATGGAGATCTCAGCAACTTGTCTAGTGAAAGTGGCTCCCAAGTATCCCCAGAAGTGCGTAAACACCTTCCACAATTACTAAGGAAACAGTCAACCAGTGATACTAGCACTAGCAGTGCTGCGTCGAAAGAGGAGAAAGTGCATGCCAAAGTTACTGGTTATACGCTGTGGTCAATGGAGGAAGAGCAAGAAGGTTGTTCTTCCCAAGAGGACATGTTTGCCTCTTCTCAAGGCCATCAGGAAGGGACAACAAGACCAAACCTTTCGGTTGACTTGAAGTTACCACAACACCAATCCACTCCAGTGGATGACAAAAACAGCAGAGAATCACATCCTAGTGAGCGATCACTGTACAAGCAGGTGTTCACTTCCAAGCAACGTACATCAACACCAGTTGAAGGTGGTGGTGGATTTTTCTGCACCCCTCCCTCTCAAGAAACACCAATTGACAATGTGGCTTTTCAAAGCTTGCAATTTTCTGGAGAGCCTAGTGTCAGGGTGTCTTCATCTTCATCATCAGATAAAGTGCATCCTTCACCTGATGCCTATAGCTCAGTTCAAGACTTACATCCATCTTCCCCAACAGCTGCTGCTGAAGAGCAAGTAGAAAAGAAAAGTAACAGGTAAAAAGAAGGAAGATCCAGATCACAGGGTTAGGGGGAACCTTTTCTCAAAAAAAAGAACCTGTTTCCCAAACTTAAACAAATAACCAAGGTGCACTCGTGGTTTGCAGAGGAAGTATGATAATTTTTTTAAAATAAAGACCAGAGATATGCAATTAAAAATGGTGACCCACATGAGCAGTGAGTCAGAACACTATGTGAATCAAACTTTAATTTCCTTCAATCTATAATCATAATAAATTATTTATAAGGGAGATGCAATGGCCTCATGGTTAGTGCACTGAAATCTTGGTCAACATATCTGGGTTTGAGACCAAGCCAGGTCATTGTGTTGTGTTCTTGGGATAAACTCTTTTATTTCTAAGAACCTCTCTCTAACCCAGGAATATAAATGGGTACTGATAAATAATTGTCAGAGAAGCCTGATGAAATGCTGGGATGTAACTGTGCAATGTACTAATATCCTATCCAGGGGTTCTAGTCATACTTCTAGTAGCTTCATGCCAAGGAAACCAGGACAGGTTCTTTAGTATTATCAGTTGAGTTGGTAACATAAATTGGCCAGGTTCAAAGCTGATGGTGGCCAATTTAGGTTATCAACTCAGTTGATAACACTGAATTACCCTGTTACACTCTCCTACCAATGCAGCTATACATTTTTTGTAAGGAACTTACCCCCTTTATTCTGGATAGGTTCTGGCTGGCCAAACAGCTTAGCTCAACTACAGCTGTTTTTTTGTCTAATGATACATGTGATTTACTATGGTGAAGTACCAGAAGCCATTTGAATTTCATATATCTTTTCATGAATGAAATTATTCATGGATAACACACAGCAATGTAGTTCTTGTTGTAAGTATTATATTTATGATAATTCATTTCTATTTAGGAAAGAGGGAACATATGAGAAAGGGTGTGAAGACAGACAGACTCAAAAATCCAAAAACATCAAAGAATCTGTAAAAAATGATGTGGAGAAGGAACAGTCAGAGATGTCAAAAGCAGCAGCAGAATTGTTGCAGTCATTTGATATGTCACAAAGCCAAGAAAGACATTTGGAAAAGCCAGCATCTCTAAGACTCAGAGAATCATTAGATGATGAAAGAGTTGAGTTACCTCTCTGGCAGCAAAAGCAACAGCAAGAGGTACTCCAGCAAGCCAGTGACACCAATGAAAAGAAGTCAAGTGACACTTCCTCAAAAGGTTCATCCAGTGAGGACTCATCTAAGGGTGAATCATCACCTCAACTGCAGCAGTGGCAGCCAGTTAGTAGTGCTTTGAGTAACAGCAGCCTAGGATCCACAGGTTCAAAAGGAAAATATACAGTGCTGCCACCAAATGGCTCTAAGGAGCAGTGTGTACCTTTCATAAGTGGTAGCTTTCTTGACAGTCCTAGGCATGAGCCACTAATTTCTGATTTACCAGTAAATCACCCTAAGCAGAGCTTACATGAAGAACAGTTGTCATTGTCTCCATCCTCACTAATAATGCATCCCTTTAAACCAAGCAAAAGTAAGGCTGAAGGTACTGAAGAAAGCCCTGCTGTGCTGCCAGGTCCCACACAACCAGAGATGAGTGAGGATATGTTCTTTCCTGTAATAAACCAGGAAGGCAAGGAACAGAATAGTATTTCAGGTATTTCATAATCTCTATCTTGCTGTATATTTAACAAATAGATCATGTGTTGCAGTGTGTCTGTTGGTAAAAACAAACAAGTGGCAGACAAGGCACAGCTGAGTGTGTTTCTGATATTCTTATCACATTTTTATGTCTCCTGTGATCTTTTCCTAATTATACAGACCAAGCATATCATGGAATCTATTTGTTTTATATGTCAAAAAAAGAAAAATGTTGAAATTGGTGATGTTAGCTATAACATCTGTCCTCGAATAGATCATAAATAAGAACCAATCACAACACAAGTATAATTGAGCTTATCATATAATATATTATATTTCTAATTCTCAAAGTCTATATACACCTGTGGTTACACATTGAAATGCAGCTGGTGAAATTAGGATATTGGCTTCTATTAAGAGAGATGTAGAGAAAAACCCTTTGATCACAATTAGGAACAAACAACAAACGGAGGCCACATGTGACACCAAGTTTGGAATTTACATAGGGGCCACTGTGGAGGCAGGCAATTCCATCCCTGCTTCCCAAAAAGGCATTGAATGTATGCACAAGAGAACTGTGGACCTTAAGTTGACAGAATAGATGTAGTTGCAAAATCAGTGAAACCATTGAATTGCCCAGTTCTGTTTGATTATTTTCCTTCCAGCTGTTATATATTTTAATTTGAAATTGATTTAGAGAACTTAGAGATATATCTTAATAACAACCCCAAGTGGAAAAAACAGTGAATCCTCATCAAGTGTCTGAGATGGTGTGTCAAAATTGTACAAAGTTAAATCTAAATTACCCTGGTGAGTCAAAGCTGTTTCATGAATTTTTTTTATCAGATGAATCTCCTGACCAGCCAATGGAAGAACAAAATATTCAAGGGGTCTTAGATTCTCAAGACATAGTGATGCCGTTCTCATTGCACCTGACTCAGTCGCAGTTGGTCATGGGAAGCCAGATGCCATCAGATACCAGCCAGGGACTGGAGGGGATTCAGGAGGTAAAACAACACAGAGAATGATAGTTTCTCCTTACAGTTTCACCCTTGATTCAAGTATTGAGGTCATGAGAATAAAGGAAATGATCACCAATTTAAAAAGCTTTTAATTGTCTATCGAATTCTCCTTGTCAGTACTATGGAAAATGTAAAGAGAGAATATAAATACGAATATTAGAGTGTAAAGGGTTAAAATCCATTTGCATTACACGCTTGTCTGTAAGTTAGTCTTTTAGGAATGATGATGTTTGACATTGTGAGGAGAAGTTTCATTTTAATCATTTCTTGGAGTTTAAACGTTGGGAAATGCTTGGTCAGAAAGGTGGAGGCAAATACTGGACCCCTTTGAACTTGTCCAATTTTTTTTTTCAATCTTTCACAGGATGTGATTGTCAGTGAAGTGACAAATAACGTCACCGAGTGCAAACTGGCAGAAACAATTCAAGCTGAAGAGGCAAGTACTTTGACAAAACAAGACTCCGGCAGCCAGTCCATTTTGGCCCCTTTGGGAAGACAACTTCCTACAATGGCTCTTGCTCAAGATGATAATGACAAGGAACAGCTGACTATGAACGTTCCAACCAAAGCACCGGAGAATCTTGTGAGATCTACTGACGGCATCGACGAAATTCATCGAGACCAAA